GCTAAAGAAAACAGCTCTCAGCATAGTCACACAATCACTGCAGCCGTGATTTAAGAAAGAAGGAAAATGGCTCCTCTGATCTGTTGTTGTGTCACTGTAACTATGCATATATACGAACTCGCAGAGTACATAGGGGTTGGTGCCGTCTGCGGTCTGGAACCATCTCCTTAGTGCTTGTGTATTTCCTTCTGTATTCCTGCACTGGGCTAGGGTGCAGCTTTACACGGCGTCACATCTGCCTGGCATTTCTTTTTATAACAAACACGCTATGTATCTGCTCTTCCTGTGAATTGACAACCCTAGGTTTGGCTTTGTTTTGTTTTCTGGGGATTCTGTTTGTTTGTTTGCTTGCTTTCATTAGACAAGGGCTTACTGGGTTGCCCAGGCTCTCCTCGTACTCATGGTATCCTTTCTGCCTTGGTAGAGCCATTGATTTTTTTAAAATAAAACATTTATCAGAGGTATATTGGATCCATTAGATGCGATCAGCTGGCTGTACTTCATAACTCTTAACAGCCTGGAGCTGAGGCTGGGCGGGAGGCGGGGAGCCATGGGAAAACCGACATTTACCGGTCAGAGCGACTCGGGTTGTCTAGCTTTCAAATTCCTCCTGTGCCTGAAGGAAATTGCCTGGGAGCTCAAGAGAACCACCCCCAGATGCCCAGCACTGTGTCAGCAAGGCCACTGTCCCTTGGCAGACATTTATAATCTCTCCCACCAGCCATGCTTTGGAAAGCCTGCGTTAGAGAGATCGATCTGTACGCCGTATCTTAACACCATTCTGCCTCGGAAAGCACGGAGCCACACAGATGAACTCGCTTCCTTTGCTCGAGGGAGCAAAGGCAGGAAACATTAGCCCAGTTTTAATACAGAGCTGTCCAAGAAGCTGTCTCCCCAGCGAGCACAGGGACAGGAGCAGGACGTTGCCGATGCTGAGGATGACATCACTGACACCAAGCAGGACAGGCGTTTGCGAGACATGCACAGGTTTTTTTTATTCCGGGGCCCCGGGCTTCTGAACAGTGGCCTTTCTTTCTCTATGCCATTTACCCTGGAGAAGTAAGTGAATTACGCAGGGAAGCGGGAGAACCAGTCTGTCTCACTGCAGTCTTAAATTGAATTTAATTGAATTTATAAATACAAATAAGAGGAGAGCATCCTGGGCTCGTTGACACACGGCTTGGGGGGGGGATCGATTGACAGCTAATCTGAGATGCAATTCTTGGGTCTGTTGTTCTCCATGTGCTTCTCCAAATTTGCATTTTAATGTCTGTGTTTGGGGGGGCTTAATTTCCCACAAGAACAAAGGGATTCTTTGAAAGGAATTATACGTGAAAGTCAGTGGAGTGTTGTGGCCACCATCTACGAGGAGCTTATATGCATCTTTCAGAGATGCCACGGAGACCAAATCTCACCAGCCAGAGGAGGAGAAACTAAACATGACTGTGCGGTGTGTCATCAAATCAGAACGATAAGACCACGAGCAAAATGAGGGGGAAATACATTAAGATCTTTAACCTTTGCAATCTGGTCCAGCTTGAGAGCCACTACAGGGTAGTGTTGTCTACAGGGTAGTGTTGTCTACAGGGTAGTGTGGTCTACAGGGTAGTTTGGTCTACAGGGTAATGCAGTCTACAGGGGATGCAGTCTACAGGGTAGTGTCATCTACAGGGTAGTGTTGTCTACAGGGTAGTGTCATCTACAGGGTAGTGTTGTCTACAGGGTAGTGTCATCTACAGGGTAGTGTGGTCTACAGGGTAGTGTCATCTACAGGGTAGTTTGGTCTACAGGGTAATGCAGTCTACAGAGTAATGCAGTCTACAGGGTAGTGTGGTCTACAGGGTAGTGTCATCTACAGGGTAGTGTCATCTACAGGGTAGTGTCATCTACAGGGTAGTGTTGTCTACAGGGTAGTGTGGTCTACAGGGTAGTGTCGTCTACAGGGTAGTGTCATCTACAGGGTAGTGTTGTCTACAGGGTAGTGTGGTCTACAGGGTAGTGTGGTCTACAGGGTAGTGTGGTCTACAGGGTAGTGTGGTCTACAGGGTAGTGTGGTCTACAGGGTAGTGTGGTCTACAGGGTAGTTTGGTCTACAGGGTAGTGTCGCAGTCTGCACCATGGTCATTACATTTCCCGGTGTGGGCAAATGCCAAGCAACTAAGTCACAAGGACGAACGGTCACGGATAAAGGAGAAAAAGGCCGATAAGCATGAATCACCTACAACTTCCTTAGGAAAAGTTTAACCAGGAAGTGGACGCGGGAGTTTTAAAGGAATACTTACGGGCATCTGTTGACCTGGGAAAAGTTTAAAAGGCTGGGCTCTGTATTAACAACAGGGCCAGGAGAAAAGCCCCCAACACAGCAGTCAGAAGAGGTCGGTGACATGGTGCCAAAAGGTCTTCTTTGTCATTGTTGTTGTGGACACAGTCTCACTAATTAGTCCTGGCTGGCCTGAAACTCCTTATGCAGAGCAGAGTGGCCTCTGTCCCCCAAGGGGCAGGCTCAAAGGCGTGAGCCCCCAACCCGAGTATACTTTTCACTGTTGTTTCCATGCTGGGAATTTAGCCCAAGGTCTTCCATGTGGTAGGCAAGTCCTCTACCTTAAGCTATAACTCCAGTTCTGTCATTTTGTGTGTGTTTTGTTGTTGTTGTTGTTGTTTGAGACAGGGTTTCTCTGTGGCTTTGGAGGCTGTCCTGGAACTCGCTCTGTAGACCAGGCATCATCTATCTATCAGTTATCTATCTCTATCTGTCTGTCTGTCTGTCTATCTCATGTTCCTGACTCCAGTTCACAGGAAGAAAACATGTCTATAATATTCATATTTCTGAGCAGTATCTTACTACATCATCCAGGTTAGTCTTGAACTCTTGGTCCCTTTGGCTCAGCCTCCTGGGTGTTCTGATTACAGGCATACATGATACCACACCCAGATATAATCTTAGAACTAAGGCTAGAGCGGGCATAAGGCAGGAGTACATGCTTGGAGCAGGGGCGGGGGGGCGGGGGAGAGGGGGGGAGAGGTGGCGGTCAGCAAGGTGCAGACTGGTTTGAGGAGAGACCCTAGGGCAAGGGACCATCAATAAGGAGAATTGGGACGCCGGGACGCCTCTCGACGAACTATTCCACACCTTGCAATGGTTCTCATTCTACAGGAAAATTCACAAGTGTCATTCATTATACCTGCATCGAGAAACCGTGGGGTGACCTGAATATTAATTATGTGCCACAGGAAACAGACTCTTCTCTAGGTCGGGACGATCAGAACAGTGTGTCAGCTGCTCCCTATTAATTACTTGCTTTCTGTATTTGTCTGCTTTGCACTCATCACGTGTCAAGCGGTGCCCCAAATAGACCACAGATGTTACGTAATGAATGGAAGTTCACGATCTTTCTATCTTCAGAGGCTTTCTGTTTCAGCACGACTCACATCTTACCCATGACAGTAATTATGAGTAGGACGTCTGCCGAGAGCTCCTGGAACAGGATGTCCAGGTGATATTTCAGAACTTCTGGTAGACCTTAACTAAAAATGTATCAACTTGCTGCTGCCACCACCCAATCCCAAGGGAGCAGAGACTTCAGCGAGTTCCACCCAGAACCCAGGGCCACGGTTGAGGAAGGCATTGCTACCACAGCCATGTCTGAGGAGAGCGGCACTGCCCGAGACGTCCTCAACATTCACGCTGCTTTTAGGAGGTGTGGGAGACTTCTTTCTAAATGATTCGTTTATTTGCATTGGTATGTCTGTGTTAGGGCATTGGATCCCCTGGAACTGGAGTTACAGACAGTTGTGAGCTGCCGTGTGGGTGCTGCGAATCGAACCCAGGTCCCTCTGGAAGAGCAGCCGGTGACTGCTGAGCCGTCTCTCCAGGCCCTGTGGAGGGCTTCTTGTAGCCATAGAAGGCTGACGCATGGACTTCCCCAAGCTGTCAGTCACAGACAAGTGTCGAATCCTTCTTTGGTGTTTGGCAGCGAGAACTATGGGAAAGGATGAGCCTCCAACGTTGACAGAAAGGGGAAGTCAAGGACAGTGGCGGGCAGAGCTCCCGGGCAGTTAGGACTATGGCTGTCTTGGCCAGGCATGTCAGAAGAAGGAGACGGGCAAACGGAAGATCAGCCTTGAGTGTTGCCACTGGGAGGTCAACCACGCTTCATGGGAAGGCCGAACATCATGTATGTACCATGTTTCAATGGAAGACCACACATCATGTATGTACTTCAATGGAAGACCACACATCATGTATGTACTTCAGTGAAAGACAACACATCACATATGTACCATGTTTCAATGGAAGGCCGAACATCATGTATGTACCACGCTTCATAGGAAGGCCACACATCATGTATGTATGCCCGACACAGATTAGACCTGATGGGTGAAAATATAGGAAGGACTCAGAGTTGGTGGGTGGAAAGGGCTTGGGGGTTGATCTGGGAGGAGCTGGGAGAGGGGTGAATATGTTCAAATATCACTGTGTGGAATCCTCAAAGAACCAATAAATACCCTTTAATTAAAGAACAAGGCATGGTGGTGCACACCTTTAATCCCAGCACTCAGGAGGCAGAGGCAGGAGGATCTCTGCGAGTTCCAGGACAGCCTGGTCTATATAGAGAGACCCCCGCTGATTATTCCATGGGGAATGTAGCGTAGTTGGTAGACCAGTTGCCTACCATGCACAAAAACTTGGGTTCAAGCCCTCAAACCACTCATGCTACATGAGGTACTCATGCCTACAATCCTAGGACTCAGTGGAAGACAGGGCATTCAGGAGTTCAAGGTCATCCTCTGCTATATTGTGATTTCCAGGGCAGCCTTGGCTACATGAAACCCTTCCTAAAATAAAATGAAAGCAAAGCATATCCCCTAAACCCATCATGGGCTGCTTGGAATTCTCACAGTTGAGGTGTCTGGAGTAAGGATCCCCCTGTATTCCCCTGCACACGAGAAGCTGTACTGGGCCCCGCTGTCTACCCAGAGCTCCCCAGAGCTCTGCTTCCGTTACGGCGGTTGGCCAGCCTCTGTGCTGACTTGGATTTCACCAGTACTTCCGCTAACTGCCGTTTCTGTCTCATGATCCATCTGGAGAACGTATCACTCCGCAGTCCTGTCTCTGTAGTTTCCTCTGCTCAGCGACTGTTTCTCAGAGTTCCATTGATCATCAGGACCTTAAACGTTTTTGAAGGTTCTCGCTATGTGCCTGGTAAAATACTTCTCTACCTGGATCGATCGGGTATTTTGTTTGTGGTTAGACTGGAGTTCTGGGTAGAGGAATACCACAGAAGTCTGGGAGCCTCCTCACAGCCAAAGCCCATATATCCACATGGCGTGTCATCACTGAAGCTACCCTTGATCACTAAGTTTCTCCACTTGAAGATCTCTCTGTCCTCTCCTCTGATGCTGTGTTTTTTGGTTTTGGTTTTGGTTTTGGTTTTTTGAAGCAAAAGCCATAGCTGAAGGGGAGGCAACCACTAAGCCTTGCTTCCTGGGGCCAGGAGCATCTGTGTAAAGCGCTTGGCATTGTTGGAATTCTTCTGTGAGAGAGGTATCTTCCCTTTTCCGTCGTGACTGGGGGTGGGGGTATTTATATTGCGCCCTGGTTGCAAGCCAGTCCTGGGCTGTTTATGTCATCAGTGGCCACGGGACACAGAGCATCCCTGGTTTTCAGCTCTCCATTGTGTTCAGCAGGTTGAGGTGCTGTAGGCTCTTACCCATCCCATCCCGTCCCTGTCCATGTGCAGGAAGCAGCCATCTTTTGGAGTTCTTGCTTTTTTGGGAAAAAGATTTACTTATGTGTGCATGTTCATCCGTGTCACATTACAAGCGCCACACGCATGTAGGAACCCACAGAGGCCAGGAGAGCCGGACCACGGAACTGGAGTTATGTATATATGGTTTTGAGCTGCCTCGGGAATGCTGGGAAGGAGGCTTTGCCGGAGCAGTAAGTGCTCTTAACTGCCGAGCCCATCTCTCAAGCCCTGTAGTTTTCTTTCTTATCAGGACCACCAACCAGCCCACAAAGCGACACGGGGTCGTGGTATCAATTATAAAAGCCCCCTTCTTGGCCTTCTCCCCGCTGAGATCGTAGTCCGCGATGTCACACACCGCTTGCGTTTCCTTTTTGAAGCCTCAGATCCTGCCTTTCTGTCACCAGAGATTTCGATCCAGTGTGTCTAGGGAGGGGCCCAATAGCATGGTTTTACTGTTGTCTTTAAAGTAAGACGGCACTGGGAGAGTAGCTTGGGAATGGAGACCTTGTCTAGCATGGGCTCTGGGTTTGGTCCTCAGCTCTGAAAAATAACCATGTCCAGTGACAATGCAAAGGTTTCACACACACACACTTTTATTCTGAATTTTTGTATAAATGAGTGTGTGAATGGCCTATTCATGCTCCTGGTTTATTGGGCTAATCACCTTGTGATCATTAGCTATAATCTCTTTCTCTCTCTTTCTCTCTCTCTTTCTCTTCTCTCTCTCTCTCTCTCTCTCTCTCTCTCTCTCTCTCTCTCTCTCTCTCTCTCTCTCAAGATAGGGATTCATAGCTGGGTGTTGGTGGCACACGCCTTTAATCCCAGCACTCAGGAGGCAGAGGCAGGCGGATCTCTGTGAGTTCGAGGCCAGCCTGGTCTACAGAGCGAGTTCCAGGACAGCCTCCAAAACAATACAGAGAAACCCTGTCTCAAAAGACCAAACCAAAACAAAGACAGGGATTCATACAGCACAGAGTAGCCTTGAACTCCTGATCTTCCTGCATCTGCCTCCCAAACGCTAAGATTATATGTGTTGGCCCCTTTATTCTGTTTTTCATTGCCGTGACCTAAGCCAAACAAATGACTCCCAGAGGGGAAGGCTGCATTTTAGCGTGTTTCTTCAGTCCGTGTGGTGGGAAGGAAACCCAGTGTTTGACAGAACCCAGAGCTCACAACTGGCAGCCAGGAAGCAGAGAGAACCCCTGCTCTCTGGGGCTCTCTACCTTTCCCTGGACTTCCTTGGGGGCTCCAACCACTCGCCCCGGGGCGGATCTTCAACCCCTTAGCTAATCTTTTCTAGGAATGCTCCCTGCAGCCTTTACAAATGCCCGAGAAGTGCCTTTTGCTAACCGCAGGCACTTCTCAGTCCAGTCAAGTTGATAATTAAGATTAACCATAAACCGTTGTCAAGCTCACACCCAAGCATATCTCCCTGGACGATAGCACTCTGCTCCTGGCCCTGGAAAGGGCTGTGCCCCCCCCCCATAAGGCAAAGCACACGTGCTTCATCTCCACAGGGGTCTCGCGGTCTTAATGGTTCCAATGAAGGTCCAAGTGTCCTCTAGGAGTCAAGGCAAGTTCTTAGCTGTGAACACCGGTAACCAGAAAACCAAGACAGCGGCCCAAAGCAGACGCGCCCTTTTGGGACTGGAAAGGAGCAAAGGGAATGGGAACCAAAGCAAGACCAAAGCCCAGCACGGAAAATGCTAAATCCTGTCTGGGTCACGTGGTCTTGATATGTGACCTCCTCCGGCAGATGTCAACAGCTGGCCTCTGTGGTCTGGGCAGTCTCAGCCCACGTGGCCCGTCTTTGACTGACTCCGTTTGCTGCCTGTGGCTTTTTGGTGATCGACATTCCAAGCTCTTGACCTTTTCAACGCGGGGGGACCCTTATCCTTACAGCTTCACACATCACCCTCGGGAGACTACCTTTAGGGACTCTCAGCCTGCTCTCCCAAACCTTGCTTTAAGATCTGTGCGGGAGCCTCCATGAGCTGAGAGCCCTTACATTCTGTGACTGGAAAACCAGCACCACAGGCCATCCGCCACCAGCTCCAGAGGTAGCTAAACCCCACCGACCGCCGGACCGTTGCTGCAATAGCCCAAGTGTCCTGGTGGGTGAAGATGCAGGAATATTTTCCTACATAGTCGTGTGTGAGCAGGCCACCCTAGACTTCTCTTTTCAAAGCACAGCCTTTCCAATGAGTGTCCGGCTGTGTGTGTGTGTGTGTGTGTGTGTGTGTGTGTGTGTGTGTGTGTGTCCGTCCAGTGACTGCAATGCAGATAACCAGGACAGTTCCCCAGAGGCCTCCAAGAAGTCTTTGTTATCCCAATGCAAAGCATGGTATCCTTGCATCTCTGCAGCTGCGGTACTCTCCTTGGCACCAACTTGATTGTCCTTGACTTCTGGTACGTTCTCAAGCCGCCTTTAAAGAGAATCTCGTCTCCCTGGCTGAAAGGAGACTGTCCTAAGTCCGCCACAGCATGGATGCTGGACTAGCCTCGAAATCTACTCTGCCGGATCAATCAGCCTGTCAGTTTTAAAACCCAGCCTCCGTCGGAGAAGAGGCACCATGGCCACGGCAGGAAGGAAACCGTTTCACTGGGGCTGGTTCACTGGTTCAGGGGTTTAGCCCATTGTTGTCATGGCGGGAGGGACACGGCATCGGGCAGGCAGACACGGTGCTGGAGAAGGAGCTGAGAGTTCCCCGTCTGAATCCACGGGCAACAGGAAGAGAATAAGATACATACAAAGGCGGGCTTCCTTGGCGTACAAGAACGGTGAAGAGCTGATTGCCTTCCCCTATTCCATAGTCCACATCGGATCTGAAACCGGTTAACTTCAGGATAGGAAAGACCATGGGTCAGGAATAGAAGCCCATGTGTCCAACCCCGAAGGGAAGCGTGGGCCTGTAGGAGAGGTCACAAGAGAAGGCAATATGGGGACATGCAAAAGTGTTAGAGAGGAAGGGTCCTCTTCCAGAAGACCTTGGTGTGCAGGAGGGACACTCCACAGTCCCAGTCAGTGACAGGACTTGAGAAGGGCAAGCTGGGGTGGGGGTAAAAGGAGCAGTCTTGGAGACTGACCCCATAACACACATGCACGCACAGGAGCACACACACACACACATGCACACACGCACACTCACACACGCATGCGCGCACACACACCGCTGGCAATATTGAGCAGTATATAATAGGGCACTTTATACATTACTATGGACTCAGTATACTTTACCTGCTAACCCTGTCCCGCACCTTCCTTTCATGACGGCTGTGGGCAGCAGGGCTGTGTTAGAGGTTACAACATTATGTACTTGTATGAAAATGCCCTTAGTGCCACAGACAAGGAACACATACCAACAAAAAGGGAAACAAGACGGGCGGTGGTGGAGCATGCCTTTAATCCCAGCACTCGGGAGGCAGAGGCAGGCGGATCTCTGTGAGTTCGAGGCCAGCCTGGTCTACAGAGGGAGTTCCAAGCCAGTCAAGACTGCAGAGTGAGACCTTATCTCAACAAAGGAAAAGAAAAAACTAAGAAGTTAGTATCAGGGGCTGGGGTAGGCCCAACCGAGTGTTTGTCTGCAGGAATGTGGACTTTGGGACCTCAGACTAGAAAAGCTGTTGAATGCTTGAGGTGGGTGGGGCCTCACTGGGCCGTCCTAGGAGGAGCATGGAGGACAGTGGTGCTGAGGGAGATTTGAACTCTGGAGGCTCAAGAGATGTCAGAGGAGAGGAACGTTAATGTGTGGCTTAGAGGCCATTCTTGTGGTATTTTGGCGAAGGTGGCTGGTTTCTGCCCTTGTCTAAAAAAAAATCTGCCTGAGGCTAAATTGAAAAGTTGGAGGATAACAGCTTTCACAGAGATTTCAAAAGCAACCTAGGATTGACTGCGCTGTATGGCCAGTCCTATGCACGTCTAACCCTTCTTCTGGCTTTCAAAGAAGTTAGTTTTGTTGTTGTTGTTGTTTTTAAAGTGAGGGGGAGGGCCGGGCGTTGGTAGCACACACCTTTAATCCCAGCACTGGGGAGGCAGAGGCAGGCGGATCTCTGTGAGTTCGAGGCCAGCCTGGTCTACAAAGTGAGTTCCAGAACGGCCTCCAAAGCCATAGAGAAACCCTGTCTCGAAAAAAAAAGAAAAAAAAAGTGAGGGGGAGCCGGGCGTTGGTGGCGCTCACCTTTAATCCCAGCACTGGGAAGGCAGAGGCAGACAGATCTCTGTGAGTTCGAGGCCAGCCTGGTCTACAGAGCGAGTTCCAGGACAGGTTCCAAAACAATACAGAGAAACCCTGTCTTGAAACTCCAAAAATAAATAAAAAAATAAGATAAAATAAGGTGAGGGGGAAATCAATACAAAACCAGGGGTAATCCAGACACTATTCCCCTGGGGATGGAAATGTGGACACATAGCTACCACTTTCTATTTCCCTAATGTGCACAGGTGTTTACCCACATGGATGTCACCACCTCCATGCCTGGTGCCCTTGAATGCCAGAAGAAGGTGTCAGATCCCCTGGAACTGGAGTTACAGATGGCTGTGAGCCGCCATGTGGGTGCTGGGAATTGAACTCGGGTCCTCTGGAAGAGCAGCCGGTGCTCTTAACCAATGAGCTGCCTCTCCAGCAACCACAGCTGCCACCCTGATCTTGAAACTTCTGAGTGCATGTTTATTGGTAGAGGTAGTAGTGATGTTGGTGGCGGCTGTGGTGGCGGTGGTGGCGGCGGCGGTTCTCTCAAGGCCATGGCTCTGTGTGCATGCAAAGATAGGTTTCTGAACAAGGAGTCAACAGGAGCTTCGGGAGAGCTGGGGTGGGAGTCTGCAGACAAGGAAGGACGAAGGGTTTTCAACTGTGTTAATCTGATGTCCTGTTGGGTCCCTATAGCTCCATCTCAGCCCCAGCCAGTTCCTCACGGCACAATTGCAGAACAGCTTTACAAAGTGAGTCTTGGTAGATTCCTTTCCCATGGTTTGGAGATAATCTGGGAACTGTATCCTTTGTCTGTCAGCATGTGACCTTAGTGAGGACCTCCAGAGATTTCTTGTTTGTGTCTAGAATATTCAAGGCCACATCTGACTTTGGGTCATAGGTATGATTACATCTCCTCTAAATGTTTAGTGCCTTTTCATGGGTTTGGACCACTTGGCACACTGGGGTGCTGGCATTTTATCACAACTCCGAAGACCTCAGCACACGAATTTTCAGAATTAGTTAAGTAAACTTCCTCTATATTCCTTTTTTTTGCTAGGCAGCAAATTCAAAAGTTTCACATTCCAAAGTGTGTGCGTTAAAGAACTTCAGTGTAAAAGGCCACCTTACTTTTAGACTGAGGTTAGTAGCTAGACTGAGAGCCCTAGGGTTGGGAAAGTCTTGACTGTGTTAGGGATGCTGGGTAGATCTAAGGCCTCTAGTGAGGGAGGGGCACCAGAGGCTGACCCTGCAGTGTAAGCTGAACCATTCAGCAACAGCCTCCCTGTTCTACGGTCCCTGCAGGAGAACAGACGCTGTGATCTACGTAAGAGGAAATGGATCTCTCTGTATGTTCCCAGCCTTGTGCTGAGAGGCTGGTTTTGAAGACAAGGATGTCAGCATTTATGCTGGTGAGTTCCGTTTTCCCCAAGTCTGTGGTTTCCCAGAGTGGCCTTGCTTACTTATACTGCAGCACGGGACGCTAACTGGGGGCCCTTGAACGATGAGTAATTGTTTCATGACTCAGCTGCTTTTATACACAGACACACAGACACACAGACACAGAGACACAGACACACACACACACACACAGAGAAATCTACACACGCGCACGCGCACAAACACAGACACACACACAGAGAAATATACATGCACACACAGACACACAGAGAGAGAAATACACACGCACACACACATACACAGACACGTGCGCGCGTATGCACACACACACAGAAAGAGAAATATACGCACACACAAAGAAATACACATGCACATACACAGAGAGAGAGAGAGAGAGAATTCCGTTTCCTCTCCTCCCCTTTCTTCCTTTCTTTTCCTATCTTCATTTCTCTGAAGATGTTGGAAATGAAGACCCAGGGCCTCATGTGTGAGAGGTAAGTTCTCTAATACTGAGCTACACCCTGGCTCTCATTCATACATTTCTACTTTGCTGATCTGAAAACGTGGCCAGCCGCATGGAATAGTGGAGACTTAACCCTAGGTTTACAAAGCCCCTGAAACTATGCCCACTTGTACATGTGTTTCCTCCTAGAGTCTGGAGGATATGTTTTTGACCATTGGGTCAAAGAGGGCATTACAGGTTTAAGAACGTGAGTTAAATGTGCAACTCTAAAAACCATGACAAAAGTTAACTCCTGTTGCCTGCAAATGGATATTCCTGAAGTTATCTTGGTCAACTGTTTTTAAAACCCAATATCTTTCCCACCCAACATATGTAAAACAACAGAGAGAGAGAGAGAGAGAGAGAGAGGGAGGGAGGGAGGGAGGGAGGGAGGGAGGGAGGGAGGAAGGGAGGGAGGAAGAGAGTGAGTCAACTTCAAAGGCCATATTTCTGTTTACCCTGGAAAAATAACTTACTTTTTATATAAAAATGTCCTTATAGTCTATCTATCTTTCTATTCAGTTGCGGTATTTGTACTTTAAGGTTTTGAGGAGTTTTTTCTTTTCTTTTTTTAAAGATATTTATTTATTTATTTATTAATTACATATACAGTGTTCTGCCTACGTCCCAGAAGAGGGCATCAGATTGAATTGTAGATGGTTTTGAGCCACCATGTGGTTGCTGGGAATTGAACTCTGGACCTCTAAGAGAGCAATCAGTGCTCTTAACCTCTGAGTCATCTCTCCAGCCCTGAGGGGTTTTTTTCTTATTATTACTTGAAACTAAGAAAACTTTACACATGTGTTTAAGCATTGTTACATTGTTTTGAAGCAAGGTCTCACTGCACAGGCCAGGCTGCCCTGGAACTGACTATTCTCCTGCCTCAGTGTCTGACTTCCGGCATTGTCGGCATAAACATGCTTGTCTCTGAGGTTTTAGTCCTCTTTACCTTTTCCAAAAGTAACTGCAATGATGAATGTGTCGCTTGAACCCACTGTTTAAACCTAGGCTTGCATGTGTAACCCTGGACAGCACAGGGCATAGCTCTACCCATGCTGGAGTGTTGAGCCCATCATTCTATAACTCACTTTCCTTATTCAGATTATAATTTTGAGATATGTGGTCCATGCTTTGTGAGCTAGGGATATAGGTCAATGGTATAGCATTTACTTAGCACATACCTACGTACCTTTTGGCTCCATCCCAGAACTTTAAAAAAAAAAATCTAGTTCATACTTTTGTGCGTGCTATTTTGCATTTTAACACTTAAAAGCGGTCCCATGTCTTCATCATTAACGGGTGTCTGGAATGTTTTATAATTGCTTAGTTTTAATCAACAATGCAACAGTACGCTTCTCTGCATAGTCCCCTTGTGAGAACAACCTTCTAGCGTGGAAACCCGGGAAGAGAAGTGTTGCATTATAGGGTACATACGATCCCATTTATTAAACGCTGTCAACGGTCTCCGAACGGGAGGGTGATACTGTCCTCTACTCCAGCAGCATCCAAGATTAATGGAACTCTTTCCCCTGGAGCCTGATAAAAATAGACCAGGTCTAGGACCTGGGGATGACTCAGCGGGCTCGCCACACAAGCCTGATGACCTGAATCCTGGGACTCACATAAAAAGCCAGGTGCAGTGGTTCACATCTGTAGTCCCAGAACCCCAACAACGAGATGGGGGTGGACACGGGGGAAATCACAGAACAGGAGACCCTGTGTGAGCAAGGGGAGAATGGACTGGAAATCTCTCTCTTCCTCTCCCTCTCCCAATAACTAATTAAAGAGTGTGTGTGCCTGGTCTGAGGCCTCCTGCTTTCTCCCACCTTCCTGTGTTGCAGAACTACCTCTCTGGTTCAGGAGTCGACAGCCCACCAAGGAGTAGTCAAGTCTCCGTCTTTTCTGCCCAGCTGTCGATCCTCGAGACCTTGGTAACCTGGCAGCTGGGGCTGTTGTGGGGTTGTGTCCGAGGCCGCCCGTTTAAACCCTTTAGCTTTACGTTCCTCCGGCTTGATAAACCTAGTAGAAACTTGATTTGCTCTCTCACGCCTAAGCTCTAATCTCACCCTCTGCCTAGCCTCGGGACCATGTTCTCTTATTGAGCAGTGAAGCAGCCTTACAGCAGCATTACACCTAGGCTTGACCTTGGGGCTACCTAAGGTCAAAACTGCTGCGTGGTTTCTCATGGTCATGTGATGGGGGCGGGGACGTCCTTCTGTGTATGTGTTTCTCTTATTGGTTGATTAGTAAAACACTGTTTGGCCAATGAAGCAGGGAGATAGGCGGGACTAGGAGACGAGGAGAATTCTGGGAAAGGTAGGCAGAGGGAGACCTGGAAACAGTCGCCATGTAGACCACCATAGGAGTAACAGGTCCGGACCCTCCTCCATGTAAGATGAGACCACCTGGAAATACTTAGATTAATAGAAATGGGTTAGTAATTAAGACAGAGCTAGTCAGTAAGAAGCCCTAGTCACTGGCCAACACTTTTATAACTAATATAGCGTCTGTGTGCTTATTTGGGGAAAGGTGGCAGCAGGACCAGACTGGCAGGAGAGAACCGCCTGCAACGTTCATGGTTCCTCAACAGATATTTGTTGAGTGGCTGGCGGAGGACCGGAAAAGGTGAAGGAGATGTGCTGTCATCTGCAGAGGTACAGTAGCTACTTTTCTACTGTGTAAAACACCACAATCACAATAGGAAAAAAAAAGAGTTTGTTTGGGTTTCCGGTACCCGCAGAAGCGGCAGGAGGCAAATTTGCGATCCTCCTCCATCAGCCTCCTGGGTGCTAGGGACAAATGTGTGTACCACATTCCAGATCAGGTCGTCCCTCGCTGGCCACAGCTGGTTGACCTTGTAGATGTGGAACTCTGAGACAGGGAAACCCAGCCTGTTCTCATGCCTCCGCGATTTGGCGAGAGCTCTCCCAGTGGAACTGTAGTTAAGAGGACCCTTTGATTCAGGGATGAGAGTAGCCGAGGGGCAGCTCAGTGAGTGACAGCATTTGCTGTGAAGCCTGGTATAATGAATTCTATCCGTGCAACCCACTGTGGGAGGAGAGAATTGGCCGCCTGATTCCCAGACCTGTGTTAACAGTGGACACACACGCGTGCACACGCACGCATGCACGCACACACACGCAGACACACACACTGGGATTGGGTGTAGAAGGCTGTTGGGTCTTTCATTGATCTGGGAAGCAGAGGCACAAGGTGGGAAAGAGCAGAACCCGTCTGGGGAAACGCGGATGTCTGCGGCAGAGGAAGTCGTGGGAGGGAAAGAGGATAGACCCAGGAGGACAGGCTGGGTCTGGTCACTGAGGGATGTGAGTGACAGGGAGGATGAGTCAGAACCCTCAGAAGGCCTTTGAGGCAGAGAACCCCGTGATGGGCGGAGCAGCAAGGGTCACTGAACTGGCGTGGCACGTGGGTGGAAGGGAAGGGGAAGGAGGCATGGCAGTCAGGCTCTAATGTCAGAGACAGACTGCAGGTGGTACCAGGAGAACCCGGTTGGCCCTCACGCACGCTCGCCCCGCCCGCTCGCCGCTGCACTCTGGCCCACCTGCCTGCTGGGGTTTACTGATAGTTCCTTGGTGGGTCCGGGCTGAGGAATGCTGCAAAGATTATACAATGCAACAGATCACAGGCAGGAGATTCATTGGTGTGTGTGTGGAGGCCGGGCCGGCACATGAGTGACAGACAGACAGACAGAGCGGGAGAACAAGAGAGTGGTCTGTGATGGCAGGGACCTTTTAAAGGGTACAGCGGTTAATGATGACGTAGCTGCTAGCGCTGAGTCACTGAAGGCGGGCTGGTGTGTCTCGGGGAGCTGGTTCCCAACACTGGCTGTTCTTGTCTGCCAACAACAGTAGCCCAGCGAAGATGGGCTGTGAACTCACAGAGGTAGCAACCAGAGGAGACAGCAGCTCTCCAGAAACGGGCCGGGATGTGCCTGGGACCCAGATGTCCTGTGGGCCTGGCCTGGTTAGGAATTCCTTCTCCTGCCCTCTCCTTCCCAGATTCTTCTCCAAACTTCGTGAAACCCATTTTCTGGGATGGATTCACTGTCTCATAATTCACAGCGAACCTTCCTCCCCAAATGAACCATGACCGACACACATGTTGAAATCATCCACTATATGAAAATGACAAAACTTGAAACCAGTGAAGAAGCATGATCGATTTTGGAAAAAGCGTCTGGAGAACAGGCTGCCAGCATTCACAGAGCTGATTTTAAGTTTCAGGCCCCCAGGCTGTCTCTGTATTATCTCTCTCTTCTCCTTTCTTCCTCTACCCCTTCCTTGGGTCATTCCTTTGCCTAACCACCCATTTCCCTCCAGATTAGAAATTCATCTAAGCACGGTCTTACTTTCGCATTCCTCTTTGCCAATCGGAAGTGTCAAGTCAAGCCGGTGCAGAATTCCCAGAGGGAGCAATTAGCTCTGGCTGGCTGTGAGATCCCAGCCTCCACAGGGGGGGTGTGGGGGGTGTGCTGCGGTGCTGGCTCTTGACTGGTGCCTACGTGTCGGAACAGGAAGTCGGTAGGCAGGAAGTCGGTAGCAAGCTAGAACAGGCAGACATTAATCTGCAGTGTGTGCCAGGCCCGGGGAATAAGAGCTGCGTGTGCCGGAGCAGCACAGCTTTCTCAGGTGGGGAAACCGGGAATGAGTAACTCGAAGTCTATTGGCTCGGTCGCCTAGTCACATCGAGGTAAAGAGTGCCTGCCGATCGGGGTTGGCCTGTCCTAGAATCTGAGTGTTTAAGAATCCATTCGTAAAAATGGTAACTTCTCACTGTGGTTCTTGAACATGCAAAGAAAAAGAATGGAAAATGGGAAGCATTTGTTCAAGCACACGTGTGTGCACACGCGTGTGTGTGTGTGTGTGTGTGTGGTGTGTGTGTGTGTGTATCTGTGTGTCTGTCTGTCTGTGTGTGTGTCTGTGTGTGTGTGTGTGTTTAGTGGTGATAGTGATGGGTTTTACATAACTGGGTTTTCTCCTAAGAGAGTCAAGAAGCATAGAGGAAGCCAGGTTGGAAGCCGTGGTGTAACCTAGCTCAGTGCCTGAGGGATGTTTCCAGAACGCCAGCTTCTGGAGGACAGGCAAAGTTCACTTTGAAGTTGCTTGATTTTTCTTCCATGTAAATTTCCCTGTCTTCCTGAATCTTAGTAAACATTAAATCTACTTCACACACAAAGGTACAGCAGTGTAAACAAGACAATGGCTCAGTTTCGCATTTGTTTTCAGTTTGGCTTGAGATGCACAGGCCTACATACCTACTTACATACACATACACATACACATATAAATATAACTTTCCTTTGTTTCCTTGTTTCTCTCCCTTCCCTCCCCTTCCCTCCCTCTCTCTCCCTCCCCTCTCTTCCTGTCTCTCTCTGTCTCTGTCTCTCTCTCTCTCTCTTTCTAGACAGGGTCTCATGTAACCCCTGGTGGCCTCAAACTCACTCTGTAGCTGAGGTGGCCTTGAACTCCTGATCCTCCTCTCCTCTCCTAAGCACTAGGATACAGGGTGAGCCACCGCACATTTGAGTTACACGGACTGCGAGCTGAGCCCTGAGCTGAACTGTCCCCAGAAGCAGAAGGTGAGGGGGGGGCCTAGCGCTTAGGGTTCCTGAGACTGTGAACCCCATTTGTAGTCAAGGAGGAGTCTCAATCGCTTTTAGCACAGTGGTTCTCAAACTTCCTAAGGTTGTGGCCCTTTAATACACTTCCTCATGCTGGGGTGACCCCAACCACAAAGTTATTTTGTTGCTGGCTTATAACCGTAATTTTGCTACTGCTATGAGTCGTAATGCAGATATCTAATATGCAACCCCCAGGGGGTCACGCCCCACAGGTGGAGAGCCGCCTGTGCAACCCATGTTACCTCATCAGATCGTAACTCCACCCACCACAGCACCTCAAAAACGATCTGATGATCTCACTTGCCAAAAGAGGCACCCACCCTTTAAAAGAAAAGTCTCCCGGGCACCCTTTGAGACGTAATTTCAGACGGCATTGAAGCTGCACGTACGGCCACAGCTAAGATACGGAAGAGGCCTGAACTCACGCTTGGTTGCAGGATACACTCTCTCTGCGCACCTCTCTCTGCGCACCTCTCTCTCCATCTTAATAGATGCTTAAATCGGAGCTACATCTCCTCTCAGTGAAGTCCAGCGCCTCAGACGGGCTTGTCCTCAAACTCCTTTTCTGTGACAGTGTCAGCAACTTCGGCGTCACCCGAGTAGAGGTCTATACCAGGGACCCCTGGGGCCACCAGCACGCTTGGGGTCTCCAGCCACACCCTACGCTCTGAGGAGGGGAGGGAGAGAACCACAGGCGAGGGGCACATCTGGAGGGTGGGGGCACTGGATGGAGCTGAGATGACAAAGAGCTGTTCCGCTCATGGAAGTCAGCGTGTATTTTTGGGACGCAGACTGTAGAGATCAAAGGAGGACAACGTGGGGAGGTCTCTGATTCCATGTCAGAGAGGGCTCCCAGGGGGTGGATCCTTCTGAAGTCTCCGGCCGCTTGGCTATTTTCCCATGACATTTGGGAGTGACGCTTTTGAAAACAGACCACGGCCCGTTTAAAAACACCATCGTCAAAGAGTTTATATAGCAGGGACCAATATACCAACCAAACACCTGTCACCGTCCTACCTCTTCCCAAACCGGCCACAGGACCCGCTGACTCTGCCCGCCCCCCTCCCCAGACCTCAATCTGAATTAAAAAGGGAAACATTTGTTCAGAGATTTCATTTTAACCCCTAAAACATAGTTTGGCCTTTAAAAATTTCCTAGAACTTTCTGGGCGTTGGTGGCGCACGCCTTTAATCCCAGCACTTGGGAGGCAGAGGCTGGTGAATCTTTTGTGAGTTTGAGGCCAGCCTGGTCTACAGAGTGAGTTCCAGGACAGCCAGGGCTGTTACACAGAGAAACCCTGTCTGGAAAAAACAAAACAAACAAACAATGAATTTCCTGGGACTCAATCCTACTCTTCAAGTGTTAATAATGTTCATAATAATGTTAATAATATTAATAAAGCAACAAACATTTGCTGGGCCCAGGCTGGGCACAGGGCATGCCAGGCACTAGAGGTCACAAAGTGATACATGAGGCAATAGTTTTAGACTCGGGTCTCACACCACACTTCAAAGACGAGCCTGAAAATCAAAATGGGAGTTAAAGCCACCGTCACCAAGTCGAGCTGTCTGTCTGACCTTCTGAGAAGTCAGCATTCTCAAACAGGCTGGTTCCACGAGTCTGCCTTAATCCCCACACAAAAGTCTAACCACAAGTAACCTGATGGAATCTACCAGATGGTTCCCTGCTGTTCTTGCTCTCCGTCGCTGGCTTGCGAGTCAACCCTGGAGCAGCAGTCTACACACCCCGTTCTTGTTTCTGCCGATACCACCCACCCGCCCACCGCCAGCCACTGTCTGGCTATAAAACCAACGTCTTCTGCCCAAAGCAGTGCATTCTGTGTTTTGTGAAATGACACATTGCCCATTGCTGAAAATAAAGCCATTGTAAACGCATAGTTTTGTCCTTTTGACCAAAGAGGATGGAGACCCAGCACCACCTCGGAAAAGCACAGCGGTTTACAAGACTCCAGGAAAAAGGCGTTTATACGCGAACGGTCTCATTAGCCTGGCCTAACAAGTGTGCGGCTCTGGGCTGACCCTCAGCCAGGTAAAGTAAGTAAATAGGCCTCCACTAAGACACAGTCTTGGAGAACCGGACCCTAGGACACTTTTTTCCACAATTGACCTTCTCTTGGCTGCCTTTCTTGTCAAAATCAGTCTGGTTTTGTTCTGCGTGAGACAAGGTTTCCTCACATGGCTCAAGCTCACCTGGAGCGCACTCTGTCTTCTAGCCTGGCATTAAGGTCTTGACCCTCCTGCCTCAGTTTCCTGAAGGCTGTGGTCACAGGCATGTGCCACCATGCTCAACCAGAGCTTGCTGTTGACCGTGTTTGCTAAATATTTAAAGTGTTGGGAAGGTTTTTGCTTTGTTTTTCTTTCAAGAGGGTTCTGAATTGGACTGAAGAGAGCTTTTCATGTTTCTCTAAAGAGACCAGATGCTACTCGGGGCCGGATGGCACAGCTACACTGACAGCGTGCCCAAAGCTGAATGACATCAAATGTAGTTTTCCGACTTAATTAGGCCTGCAGCCCACACATACTCTTTCTCTCTAACCACCCCTTACGACAGGAAATAAAAATCAAATGACTTGAAACAATGAAGAAATCCTGCAAAACAATTTAGGGATTTGTTGCGCTGTTGCGAAACAGCGAATCCTCCAATGTCAGTTAAGAGAGGAAAAAGAAAAAAAAATAAATGACCACAGAAGGCTCCTGCCTTCCCAAGGGCTGCAGCAGAGTAGCTAGCAGTGACTTCCTGCAGCCCAGAGGCTGCCTTTGGAAACTGGGCCGGGACTCGCCTGCCTGGGGAAGCTTCCCCTGGGACCTATGCTTAGTAACAGCTCCACTGCAGGCACGGCCATAGGCTGCTCAGTTTCAAAGATGCCCTTCCTTCCCGGGCCCCAGGAACAGCACTGCCTTTTGAGATTTCTGAGAATCGCAAGTAGTGTTGTGTGGTTTGCATGAGAACGGGCCCGCAGGCTCATGGATTTGGATGCCTGGTCACCAGGGAGAGGCACCGGTTGAAACTTATTAGGAGATGTGGCCTTCTTAGAGGAAGTGAGTCACTGGGGGGTGGGCTTTAGGTTTGTAAAAGCCCAAGCCAGGCCCAAGGGCTCTCTCTTCCTGCTGCCTACAGATCTGCATGCAGAAATCTCTGTCCTCCTCACCTACCATGTCCTTCCGCGTGATGCTGCGTTCCACACCATGAGGATAATGGACTAAACCTCTGAAATCGTAGGTAAGCCCCCATTGGATGCTTCCTTTTCTGAGAGGCCTTAGTCATGGTGTCTCTTCACAGCAGTAGGACATTGACTAAGACAGGCAACAGTAGGTAGGCTTGGGGGTTGCTTGCTGCCTTTTTTGTTGTTGTTGTTTTTGTTTTTCAAGACAAGATTTCCCTGTGTGGCTTTGGAGGCTGACCTGGAACTCACTCTTGTAGCCCTGGCTGGCCTCGAACTCACAGAGATCCGCCTGCCTCTGCCTCCCGAGTGCTGGGATTAAAGGCGTTCGCCACCAACGCCAGGCTTGCCTGCTGCCTTCAAGCTCGGTCACTGCTTAGCACTCCCTCAACCCAGATCTCTGCCTCTGTGCCATTTAATGACCATTAAAAGTCTCATTTGCCAGGACAGGCTCCAAAACAATACAGAGAAGCCCTGTCTCGAAAAACCAAAAAAAAAAAAAAAAAAAAAAAAGTCTCATTCGAATGAGCAGCTAGCTTTCTTTGATCTACACTACAGGAGACAGCGCCAAATATTTATCATCTGGGGGAATTCCTTTCAAGGCTTTGGACCACCTAAGGAAGCTTGCATGGACATGGTTCCTCTTCTCTCTCTCTCTCTCCTTCCCTTCTTTCCTTTCACCCAAAATTCACACACACACACACACACACACACACACACATATATATATATATATAGTCTTTGTTCTCCTTGGGCCCTGGCCCTCAGCTCAACCCCAGGCTTCCCTTTGCATAACACAAAATAGTTTGACTTTAAAAACGTGATCAAATTCTTAGGCTAAAGCTACCAGCTTCCCACCTCACGGGTGGAGTAGCATAGTCCTTTAGAAACATGTCCCCACATTCTCTGCTACTTCACCATTCATACTGTTGACACCTAACAGTTGTTGGGGAGCATGGCTGTAATCGAGCAGGAGGATCCCAAGTCTGAAGCCAGGATGGGCTTAGTAAAGCCAAGCCACACACAGAATCATGGGCTCTACATACACAATTCCAACAAATGAACTCTAGCAAAATTGGGGTGTAACAGCTAAGAAGTTATTGGATCTCTATCCCACCCTGGGGACAAAGTCAGCTCTCCTGATCTACAGAGTGAGTTCCGGGACAACCAGGGTTACAAAGAGAAACCCTGTCTTGAAAAATCCAGAAAAGAGAAAATTGTTCCACTTTATCTCTTTAGCATTGCTTAAGGCAAGTCCACCGTTCTAGGGCAGCCTCTCCTCTCTGAGGGATTCTCCCATGGCCATGTGACTGACTCCCCCCCATCAGTATATAATTGTTTTTAGACCAGCTTTACAGAGGAGTATAGGCTCATCAGGTGGGGAGGGGGGTCAGGAGTTCAAGTTCAGGGTCATCCTTAGTTATGTAGTAAGTATGAGGCTAGCCTGGGCTATCTGGGACTACATCAGAAAGAAGAGCTGAGATGGGGGAGTGGAGAGGAGACAGGGAGTTTCAGGTACAGGGTCATCCTTGACTATGTAGTAAGTGTGAGGCTAACCTGGGCTATCTGAGACTACATCAAAAAGAAACATTGGCAGAGAGAGGGGGGGAGGGGGAGGGAGAGAGAGGGAGAGAGAGGGAGGGAGGGAGAGAGAGAGAGAGAGGGAAGGAGGAGACAGGAAAGTGGTCAGGGAGGAACAAATGTGCTCTCAGCCTGTTTTTAATGCAAAGAACCAGTAGATACCAGTGAGGCTAACTGAGTACCCTTTAGAGAAAAGATTAGAAACTAAAACAAGAGAATTAGGACAAACGAGCGGCTCCTGATTTCCGCTGGAAATAGGAAAACACGTTCACGTAATTTCGCTTAGTGTGCGAGCTTGAACAAAAGCCAGGGCTCCCGGAACTGGGTCAGGAGAAGGCCTCTCAGAAGGAGAAAGCCGGGGAAACCAGAACCAAGGCTAACACTAAAGGCAGTTTTGCCCCGCCCTCCGCGGCAGAGACCAGCCCAGAGCAGTGACTGAGATGGCAATTAGGAGCAGGAAGCTGGGCAAGCTTCTGGTGGAGATGCTGCGTCTAGAAAGCCACATCTCTGGTCTCTTGAGGTGCAAACAGCAGGGAATCTGGAATCCTTAAAGTCCACCCTCTCCCCAAAGAGTGAAGGAGCCCTTGGAGGTTTAGTCCGTTTACAGAGCACAAGGGATCGCACGCTCTTAAACCGGGGTATTCTTACGGGGCTCGCCTTCCATGGAGGCAAAGAATGTATTTTTCCCAGTTACAAAAAAAAGCAACTGCTCCATTCCATCAGTAACAATCTTCTGCAAGTGTAGCATGAATAATAAAAACCCAGAGACAGCCGGGCGTTGGTGGCGTATGCCTTTAATCCCAGCACTCAGGAGGCAGAGGCAGGTGGATCTCTGTGAGTTCGAGGCCAGCCTGGTCTACAAAGCGAGTTCTAGGACAGCCTCCAAAACAATACAGAGAAACCCTGTCTCGAAAAACCAAAACCAAAACAAAACCCAGAGACAGATACCTGATCAAGCTGAAGATCAAGCTAGCCAGCCACTAGCTCTTACCTCTACCTCAGACCAAAACAGCTGGTCCTGTCTCCACGAATCCTCAGAGCACAATGCTCACTACCCTGCTCTCCACCAAGCCTGAGACTGCAATCCTGTCCCGCCTTATACTCCCCTCTCTGCCCTGCCATAATAACACTCCTGTTGCCGCCTCCCTAGTGTTGGGATTAAAAACACGCTGAAACCACCTTTGTGTGAACTGTTTCTCTTTTAGACTGGATCAATTTTGTGTAGCTCAGGGTGGCCTCGAACTAGCAGAGATCCGTCTGCCTCTGTCTCCTGAGTCCTGGGGTTAAAGGTGTGCGCCACCACCTCCCGGCGTCTGTGGCTGTGGCTAGCTTTGACCCCCCCCCACAAACACACCCAGTAGCTTTATTAGATCATAAACAATGTGTCACCACAGACTAGCAGATTTTTCTTCCTTTTTTTTTCTAACATGTTTTTATAATCTGAACCAAGGTATCATAACGTGCTCGACCAGCGTCTTCTTTGGGTGGTTTGCTGAAGTTTCAGCTTGTTTATCACTTTGTATGTAGAACTTGTAAACAGATCTCTGGTGTGCTACATGCGGCTACATACCAGTAAGGGCCTGACAGGAAGCAGGTGGCTCCCCAAAACTGTGTGAGAGAAGGGTATCTAACGCTGGGAGGAGTCATTGAGGGGCAGGCTGGGCATAGGGAAGCCAGCGAGAGATGAACAGTGCCTCGAGATGACCCTACACCTAGAATGCTTCATTATTTCCGCCTTCTGCTTCTCTTATGGCCTGAGAGTCAAATACTGTATTTCTATATGTTTAGTTTCTTTTTATGGCTTGTCTTTGCCTTGGGCAGAGGCGAGGGGAGGTGGGCAGACGGGACACGGGACTTGTTTTCTGATTTGTGGAACACTTTACATTGTAGACATATCACTGTTGGTTTGTTGTCCCAAATTTTTCAGTAGGTTTATTCTCTTTTTTCTAAGGTAGTTCCTGCTGTTTTGATATGCAGGCATTTTTTAACAGGAGTCCAATCTGTTCCTCTTCATCAGTCTTTTAGAAAGATACTATGAGGGTTGGAATGAGAAGTGCCCCCCCCCAACCGACTGAAAGGTTCAGGCATTAGGCTGGCCTGCCCTGTTACCTGGCAGGATGCACTCAGGCAGCACTCTGGCCAGCCCAGGGTTCTGTGAGAGCCACGCAGATGCAAAGGACCCCTTTAAAGGACTGACCCCTGCCCGCTTATGTTCTCTCTTACCCTCTCTTTTACTCTCCATCTCATCTCCTCTCTGACTCTCATCTCTCTCTCTCTCTCTCTGTCTCTCTGTCTCTGTCTCTCTCTCTGTGTCTCTGTCTCTGTTTCTCTCTCTCTCTCTCTCTCTCTCTCTCTCTCTCTCTCTCTCTCTCTCTCTCTCTCAGCTCTGCACGGGTTGGTTACCTCTCACCCCCCTTTCCCTCCCTGTCCACCAATAAACTCCACATGGGATCGCTGAGTCACCGTCTGTGTCTCGTTACTGGGTAAACCTAGGCATTTTAACAACCCCGTCCCCACATAGGCTCGCACATTCAAGAGCTCACAGCCTCTCCCCACTTCTAACTCAAGCTCTCTGAGTTTTGTATATGGTCGAGATGCCATCAGTCTCCTGTTCCAGCCGCCTGCCACGGCGCCTTCCCACCACCGCAGACATCTAGTCCTCTGGAAACATAAGCCAAAATAAACTATTCATAGTTTGAGTTGCCTTTGGTCCTGATACTTTGCCACAGCCCCAAAAAAGTAACCAACACAGATGCCAATTTCAGAAAGACTATCAATGGCACCGGTGTTTTCTTAACCTTTCAAGTGTTATCTTGTTATCAGAGCTGGAGTTGTGACTTTTCCTGCGAATCAATATTTATGCTAAGCCCAAATATGCTGCTTCTCCCGGTAAAACACTTTGAATTGTTCACGAGCGAGCTGTCGACATGAATCATGGCACTGGCTGACCTGAAGTCAGGAAATGTGACTCTGCCTTTTCCTGGTGCTGGGAGGTGAAACCAAAGTCTTGCACATGGCAGGCGAGTGCCAGGGTGGTTACTGGTGTTTCAACTGCGTGTGATTCGGACACTGGCGACCTGGACCGGGAAGCAGAGCCCACAGGTTAAGTCCCCAATCCCACAGGACACCTCAACTTTGGATGTCAGCCACAGTCTGGGCCCCTGGGACTTCTGCCTAGCAGCCTACGAGTCGGAGGCTCCCACAAACACCTCCTCAGGTTCCCTGCTTCCAGGAACGGCTCGGAGATCTCATGGGAAAACTTAAGTTTAGCGGTTTGAGGGACATCAGTCCCAAGATCCCCAAAGTACCCAAACCTAAGGATGCTTAAGTCCTCAATGGTACAAGGCAGAGTATGTCAATTGCTTGCCTTTGAAACATGAAGACCTGAAAGCAGGACCTTCAGCACCCACGAAGGTGGGTGTGGTCACAAAGGTGGGTGTGGTCACAAAGGTGGGTGTGGCCACATGCACCTGTAGTGCCAATGTTGGGGTATAGAGCCAGGCAAGGCCCCCTGAGCTCTCTGGTTGACTAGTCTCATTTCAGAGAAGGTCAAGAAGACATATGATATCCACCTATGACCGCCATGTACATGAACACAAATATCCATACCAAAGAACACACACACACGATGGCGGGGCATTTGTGTGCAGTCCGTGTACACACTCCCATATACTTCAAATCATCTAGATTACTTATTCTTGCCAGGAATCATGTTGACCAAGTGTGGTGGCAATGGTCATTAGGAATAATCACAAGAAAAACAGAGGTCGGCACTTGCTTAGGATGAACAAGATATTTTTATTCGCATTGCTTCAGAGGCCAGAAGAGGGCGTTGGATCCCCTGGGTCTGAAGTTGCAGGCAGTTGTGAGCTGCCATGTGAGTGCTGGGAATCGGATCCCAGCCTTCTGGAAAAGCAGCCAGGGAACACGGAGCCACCTCCCCCACAGAACTTAAACTGTTTTCACCGGGCGATGGTGGGACCCGCTTTTAATCCCAGCACTTGGGAGGCAGGTGAGGGCTTATTGAGTATGTACTCCACACCCCTCTGCCTTTGCTGTAATTAGGAACAACACAGTTCCACTCTTGGGGCAGGCGGATCTCTGGGTGTTCAAGATCAGCCTGGCCTACACACTGAGTGCCGGGACGTCCAGCCAGGGCTATGCAGAGAAACCCTGCCTTGAAAAGCAAAACAAAAAAACCCTGCTAATTTGGCATAGATTTTGATAATGGGTGTTACTAACTCTGAGCCAGTTAAGCGAAACATTCTCTCCAAGAATTTCATTTTTCCTATTAGTAGGCAAAAATAATTTTTTAAGCTTATGCTGATTACACCTTGAATTTTGTCAGCATAAAATTTGGGGAGATGTCATATAAGTGCTTACACAGTAATCTTCACTGTACCTTTTAGGGAACAAAGCTTTGACCTGGCTCCTTACAGAGTGCGGACCTCGAGGCTTCACAGTGACTGTACCTGGGCCAGCTTCCTTTATGACTAGACAACATGGCAGATAGCGGTGTCTGGCACCGGCCATGATGGCCAACATTGGATACTGGGTGTGGCTCATTAGTCATCGAAAAATAGCTGACTCCAGCTGTCCAGGAACCCCCAAAACAAGCAGTGACATGCTTTGCTACACAACTATTTTTTCGGAACGTCGCTTTTGTGTGGGTTTTGTCTAGCTATGGCCTTGAGGTGTGGGGATCAGTGCCTTGACCTCCCTGATATGATGGGCTGTAATCTGGAATTCTCCCCTAATTTGTCAGGGTGCCTCATCCTGACAAATCAGAAATGAAAAGTGTGTGCGTGTGTGTGTGTGTGTGTGTGTGTGTGTGTGTGTGTGTGTGAGAGAGAGAGAGAGAGAGAGAGAGAGAGGAGAGAGAGAGAGCAGTTTTATTGGTATTTAAATTTTTATTTTATTTTTATTTTCTGTGTATAAATGTCTGTTATTCACATGCTTGTGCACCATGCCTGGGGTGCACAGAAGTCAGAAGACTTCTTATCCGCTGTAACTGGACTAGGGTCGTGTGAGCCATCACACGGGATCGTCTGTAAGAGCAACCAGTGCTCCAGCTGTCTTTCTAGTTCTGCTTTCTTTTCATTTCTGTGTTGAATTTGGTATTAAGGGCCTGCATAATGTACAGACTAGGATTTTGTTGTAGCTGTTTCTTCGAGACAGGGTTTCTCTGTGTGGCTTTGGAGCCTGTCCTGGAACTCCGCTCTGTAGACCAGGTTGGCCTTGAACTCTCAGAGATTCCCTGCCTCAAGAGTGGAGCTGTGTTGTTCCTAATTGATAGTGTTACAGCGAAGGCACAGAGGTATGGAGTACATTCTCAGTAAACCCTTGCCCACTGAGGAAATGGACGAGAACTTGCTCTCACTGCGTTTCTGAGTTTTCTGAGTGTATTAGGACCCTTCGCCCTGCATTCTCCCAGGCAGGGGAAAGGCAATTTAAATGAACCCACAGCTATGTAAACATTTTAAGCTAAAACCTTGTAATCAGAGGTCATAAATCTCGACCCCTCTCCATCCAGAGGTGCCCGGAGAATGCTGGCTCAAGATGCCTGAAATGCCATAGATCCCATAGACCCCAACTCTCTGCCCCGTGTATAACCTTCGGTTATTAAAAAAAAAAAAAAAAAAAAAAAAAAAAGGAGCTTGTAGCCCTACCTCCAGGCCTCAGAGTCAAATAATTCCAGTTAGACTTTATTTTCCCCCTTCGGTGTTTTTGAATAAAGTTGTTTCTAGTTAATAGACTCTGGTGGTCTGTTCTCCTGCCCAATTCCAGGTGGAATTCCTTATGCAATTCCAGGACCCAGC